TTTGGAAAGGACAGAAATTCTGACCTTTACATTCAAGTTTAAAAACACAAAGTCCTATGTGAATGCTAGAAATGAGTAACAACGTGGCTTTGTTGAACATTCAAAAGTCAGCATGAAATTCACAATAAAGGCTCCGTTATTCCTCTAGTTAGTCATCAGGATGTACGGAACAAACAAAGGGAATGTAAAAGATTTGAAGAAGAAATTAAAATCTTAAATTTTGAAAAAAGTCTTGAATCCAATGGCAGCATTTTTTTCAGCTGAGTTTTCAATAAAACTATATGAGGTACCTCTAGGTACGGCTAGTCCTGGGAGCCAGTGCCAAATTCAGCCAAATCTAATGACTTGAACAAGGCATACGTATGGCTTTCTCAAATGTCTTTCATATTGTCTGTATGATGTTCAGTAAAAGAGAATGGGAAAATAAACATTATATTAAAAAGTTGTCTCTGAAAAATATGGTTCATAGGTACATTCCTACTACAACACTGCCTCTGGACAGGAGGCTGGAACACCATTTATAAACTTTGGAATAGAAAATTATACATTTGCGGCTCTTCAAAAATCTTTCTTTGCTGGAGCAGGGGAACACTCAAATTATTCCTCTTTGAAAATCTTTAGGTTCCATTTTTGTCCAGAAAGGATTTCCAAAGAATAATTTTGTTGTTTTAAATGCCTACTAGAGGTTATACCTACAGGACTAGACAGACAGCTATGGTGTGCCTCAGTGACTACAAAACAAGGTGTAGGAAAACACATCCCATTAAACCATACGGGCCACACTCAGTGCTCAGAAATTATACTGTCTGCAAACCTCCTATTTCAAATGGCAAATTTTACAGAAAACCTCAGTGGTTCGCTCTGATTTTACCTTTAAGGACCTATATCCTCTGTACACTAAATTACTCCTTCAGTATTCTGAAATTATGAGAGATAAATAAAATATCACAGGAATAAAAAGAAAAGGAAGGACTTTTAATAAGCAATCTGACTGTACCCAAGAAACAAATTAGCACAGCAATAATAAAATTAGAGAAATGATTATATGCTCAACCAAAAAGATGTATCTCTGATCGAATTTGGGAGAACTTTTCCTATACTAATGATGAATTTCTGAAGAACAAAGATATATATCATTAAAACTCACTGTTCAAAACTATCTGGAATTGAACCTAACCGCCAGATGTGAGCGTGAATCTTCAAATTCACCCATAATCAAGGTTAAACATTAATACTCTTTCAACTAATCCAAAGGGATATTGTATACTCAGATTATGATCTTGTGACTTCCCATTCCATTTTTAGGTAATTGTGTCAAAATTTTGGATAAATGTAGATTTAGTGGGGCAAGCAACTGTACTTTCAAAAACATAGTAAAGCGTTTATTAAATAATACAAATTCAAGGAAACTTTGTTTTCTCGAATGTCCATTTTGAAACTAACTTTAGAAAGTATTTAATTCTAGAGCTAGAAGGGAGCTTTCACTTAAATTTTTACCTAATTTAACCTCCTTTTCTAAGAGAAGAAATCATGGAACCCCAGAGAAGAAAAGTGACCTTCTCAGGGGTTGGGGCCAGCACAAACCCCTGGGTTCCTTAATTTTTTGTTCAATACTCCTTTATTTCCACTGTGTTGCCTCATGGGAAGGCAGATTTTAAAATGGCTTCTCTACAATGACCAGAGTTTTCCACAGTAAAGAATGTGCCTACTCACATACGATTCACAAGGACCACAGTTTCCCTTAATAAAATTGTTACCTTTTGAGGTATAAGATAAAAAAAATTAGTGTGGAAGATACTACATACAGTGGAATAATGTCTAATGAGAAGATTGTAATGTTTGATACAAACGAAAACCCATCAGCTGTTAATCTGATACACTAATCTTGAGCTGCATTGCAACTATCTCAGCACATTAAACGCTCTTCTAAGTTTCTATAACTTACCACGTTATATGCATTAAATTTATTTTAGTTACATGCATTAGTTATATGTATTAGTTATATGCATTAAATTTAATGCATAAGCATTTCCCCCTCAACTAGAGTTCAACTTTTCTCATAAGGAGCTAAGATTAATTTCAACTGCTCAAACCAATGGGTTATACTTATTTCAGTTTGTTTCATTCATCGAGAGATTGAAGACCCACTATAGGCACCAAGCAGCCAGTACACATACTTACTCTGCTTGTATGTGGCCAGAAAGCCACCTCCTTGTTGACCTTCATCTGTCCTCAGTTTTAAAGACATGCTGTCTCCACTAGAACGGATGGGAGACGGGATCTCGTCCCCACACAGCTGAGCTAGCAGATGAGAGCTGGTACTTGAGCCATCATATACCTTTAATAAAACATTTCAAATGTCAGATGACTGTGGCTACAAACATTATCTAAAGGACTCTGTAATCCGTAAGAAGTGGAATCACACTGAATCAAAATATCTTTAAAATTTGTGCTTCAATGTCTATAACTTGGGCCATGAACTCAGACCGTTCAGCCACGTCTGTGTATAGCAGTAAGGGTGTGAACCCAGGTTGAAACATGAAGATTGAAAATGAAAGACTAATATATATTTTGGAGACCATAGCTGTTATCAGTAGTCCTCCTTACTTTTTGATTTCATAGTTTATAATTTATGACACTTTAAAACATTTTTGGGGGCTGGACCCATGGTGCAGTGGTTAAGTGCACGCACTCTGCTGCTGGCGGCCTGGGTTCGGATCCCGGGCGCGCACCAACACACC